ACTCATTAGGAGCTGCAAAATGGTGATATGCTAATTCCATCAACCTTTTCCATTTGATAACTGGAATACTTCCGTAAGGTGAAACTTCCCCTTATCTGTAATTTGGTTACCCAATGATACAGTTTGTATAGGAAAGAAGGGAAATTTTCTTGATGCTTTCCTTTTTCTTTACCAGTTTTTAAATAATATGTTGATTTATAAGTATCCTCTAATAATGATCAATTGAATTAGTTGTTTCTTTTTGAAGTATCATTCTAAATTCATGAACTTATACGTAGTTAAAGAGCTTCAGTCCATTCCAGTTATTCTTATTAAAGCCCTAAATGGCTGGTCCTTGGCTGGTGGGAGCCTTTTCAGGTTGGTTTCTGAATCATTTTGACATGGTAATAGAATTTGATAGCTTTGCTGGTCTCTAGGATAGCTCCTGTCCCAGACCTGGAATCAACTGTTTACAGGAGTCCTGCTTTCCTTTGGTGGGAAATGGTATTTCTAGACTACAGCGTGGCTGTTAGGGATTTATATTTTATGACCATCATATGGATATTGACTGTTGTAGGAAATATATGCTTATGTATTTTTTAGGAAATATATGCTGTGTGTTATTAGAACGTACATAAATAGAAATAAATTATATCTGAGAAAAAAATAATAAATGGAAAGAACAGTGTTTCTATCAGCATTGTTTAAAATTAAAAGAAGATAATCATGGGGCTTCCCTGGTGGCACGGTGGTTGAGAGTCCGCCTGCCGATGCGGGGGACACCGGGGCAGGAAGATCCCACATGCCCCGGAGCGGCTAAGCCCGTGAGCCATGGCCGCTGAGCCTGTGCGTCCGGAGCCTGTGCTCCGCAACGGGAGAGGTCACAACAGTGAGAGGCCCGCGTACCGCAAAAAAAGAAAAAGAAAAAAAAAAGAAAAGAAAAAAGATAATCATGAGAAAAATCAAATCTCCATTTATTATGTGCACTATTTGTTTCAGTAATTAAAATCTATTTCTATGCATTGATTCTTTGTGATATTTGTATAATCAAGGATTAATATGCTCCTCAAAACCAACCAGCATATACAAATTATACTTGACAATGAGAACTAAATTTTCTCCGTTTTTAAGAAATCTATTGTACCATAAAATGCCATACATTTTTAAAGTTTTCACCATGGATAAGGCTTTTGAAAGCTGCGAATAATACATTGTTGTTAAGCAAAAGTAAGCAAAACATAAGCATAGCTGATATGTGATGTATGGCATTAGCTATATCAGAGGAGACGACTGGAATTTCATCTTATTTTTGGAAGAGTACATAAAATAATTTGTTGCATTACTGTATATTTTTATATCACAATTTGGGGAAACAAAATAAAATGAAACTTCCCCTTAGCTATAATTTGGTTACCCAGTGATACGGTTTGTATAGGAAAGAAGGGAAATTTTCTTGATGCTTTACTAGTTTTTAAATAATTGTGCTAGCTACCAGTGCAACTTACTCTATTTCTTTAACTTTTTAGCTTTGAAGAATTGCTAAAGTACACAGAACAATTAAATTAATGATGTATTTTAAATGCAAAGCACTGGATAGTTGGCATGCGAAGAATAACTAGCCAGTGGGTGGTCCTGTGCCAGATTTTCTTTGGGAAGTCTTTTCCTAAGGACCTCCCTGTTGAGCATGGCTTTTCAATTTTACCTTCCTATCCTCACAGCATTCAGATGCACTCCTTTTGTAACATCCTTTTGCCCTGCAGTGACAGGAGTAAAGTAGCTGTAACAGAATCTCACAAAGAGACACAAAAGGTGTAATTTGAGAAAACCACCATGTCCATCTCTCCTTCCTTTCACTTTGGCCCAGAGCACTCCCTCTTCTACAAGGAGTTCTGCCTGTTGTTCCACAAGTAGGTTGGATATTTGGTGACTCAGACTTGTGATAGGATGCATTTGTTAAATGCTTCACATATTTTTTAGCACCAACTTTCATATCAGTTATTATGCTAAGAGTTAGGAAACCAAACAGGTATGGCCTCTTCCCGTGAGAATCATGACTCTAGAGGGAGAGAGCTGTAGTAGCAAATAAGCAGCGTGCTGTGATGGGCATAAAACAAGGTGAATGACACGTCAGGGGTCAGCAGAGAGAGATGGATTCTGCCTGGCAGAGGCATGAAAAACTGCCCGGAGGAGAGACCTTTACGCCGAGCCCAGGAAGATTGTGCCTGGCGGGGGCGGGAGAAGGGCACCGCAGCAAAGGCAGCGGCACAGGCATCAGAGAGGCTTGGAAGACAGAACTTGTTAGGATGCTTAGTTAGTGGGGGATGGTAGGAAATTAAGATGGGAAGAGAAGACAGGCCAGAAGACGAAGGGCTTCGAATGTCAGACTAAGGAGTTCGGCCAAAGTAGTCTCTGCCAAGGAGGCAGAAAAAAAGTTTTGAAAAAGAAGTGTGGCCTTGTCCCAATAGAGAAAGGGACAGAGGGTCCCACTGGGAGGCCCTGGAGTAGTCCAGGGTGAAGGTGACAGCCATCCAACCCGGGGCAGGGCCACCGGGAGAGTGGGAGAGCCTTCAAGAGGAAGGATGAGGGGCTTCCCTGGTGGCGCAGTGGTTAATAATCCGCCTGCCAATGCGGGGGACACAGGTTTGTGCCCCAGTCCGGGAAGATCCCACATGCCGCGGAGCGGCTGGGCCCGTGAGCCATGGCCGCTGGGGCTGCGCGTCCGGAGCCTGTGCTCCGCAGCGGGAGGGGCCACAGCAGTGAGAGGCCCGTGTACTGGGGAAAAAAAAAAAAAAAAATGAAGGTTAAAGGAAAAGACTTTCAGATAAAACAAAGTTAAAAGAATTGGTTGCCAGCAGATTCATTTAATCAGAAATCCTAAAGAAAGTTCTTTATGAAGTAGGAAAATGAATGATATCTGATGGAAACTCATGTTTTCGATAAAGAACAAAAAGCATCAGTAATGGTAAATAGTGGGTAAATGCAAAGAACAAATTTTTCTTTTTCTTCTTAATTTCTTTATAAACCATACTATTGCTATAAACAACAATTATAACATTGTCTTGTGGAATGTATAATGTATGTCGATGTAATACACATAACAGTTATCATAGCATGGGACAGATGTGGACCTGAAAACTGGACAGATTTCTGTATTTCATGAGAAGTGATACATTATTAACTCTTTGTAGATGCTGAAAAGTTGAGAACATAGTATAATCCCTAGGACAACCACTAAAAAAAGGCAAAGAAATACAGCTAAAAATAGGGAAATTAAAACTGTAAAAAATATTCACAAAATAAAATGAAAGTCAGGAAAGAAGAAAGAGGGAAACAAGAAGTAGAGGAGAAAAGTAGAAAACAAAGCCCCACGAAAAAAGTTATAGACCAAACTCAGCCATATCAGTAATTTCATTGAATGTGAATATGGTACATTTACCAGGATAGACCATATTTTGGGCCACAAAAATGTCTTAATGAGTTTTAAAAGACTAAAATCATGTACAGAATATTCTTTGATCCAGTGAATTTAAATTAAAAATCTATAAAAATAAGAGGACCAGAATAACTTTACATATTTGAAAATTAAACATGTTTCTAAATAATCATTGGACCAAGCAGACTTTTCAGGAAAAATTAGAAATAATTTGAACTGAATAATACTGAATTCAGCATATCAAAATTTGTGAGATGTAGCTAATACCATGCATAGAGGAACATTTTTAGCTTTAATAGTCTTATTAAAAAGATGGAAAATCAAACCAAAGATCTAAACTTCCATCTTAACAGACTAGAAAAAGGAAGAGAATATTAAAGGCAAAGCAAGTAGAATAAAGGAATAAGAAAGAAAAGAATGTAATTCTGTGGAGTAGAATTTAAAAAGCATAGAAATGATAATACCATTGGAGTTAATCCAGTCTGCACAGTGTTTTTCATTCATCAACTGATTATCGTGTGAAATTTCTTTACCTTCAGACTGGCTCAGTGTCATCCCCTTCATCCCCTTCACTCAGAAGGATAGTATTATTTTCTTTTTAAAAAATTTTTATTGGAGTACAGTTGCTTTACAATGTTGTGTTAGTTTAAGATGTACAGCAAAGTGAATCAGTTACACATACACATACATCCACTCTTTTTTAGGTTTTTTTCCCATATAGGTCATTACAGAGTGTTGAGCAGAGTTCCCTGTGCTCTACAGTAGGTCCTTGTTAGTTATCTATTGTATATGTAGCAGTGTGTACTTGCCAATCCCAATCTCCCAGTTTATCATTTCTTCTTCCAATTGTGTGCCCTGTCTCTCCACTTGCAATCCTTTCAGAAAGTTTACTCTTTCATTTGTAGTATGTGTACACACCACACACACACACACACACACACACACACACACACACACACACCCCTACATGCCTACATATATACCCCTACATGCATACTATTCAGGGGGATTGCTCCATTAATTTTCTAAGGGGATATTTGAAATTTCGGTTGAGTTACAAAGGACAAGTGTCACTGAGGATACAATGTATAGAGCCAAAGATATTCATGACAGTGAAACTGCCAATTCCTCCAGGAATAGCAAAGGAAGCTGTGGACCAAATGAAAATAATTTTGCAGGACATGGTATGCATGTGGACGTATACAGATTTCACCCCAAAGTTTCCAATATAGGAAATCAGTCCCCTTAGCACCAACTATCTCCGCCGTTTCTTAATCTGCTCTGTTGTGTCCACTCTATGTGTCCTACCCAAGAAATGTCTAGAATGTTCTAAAGATTTTATGTGTGTATATGCTTGTGCTTTATATGTCAGTGTGCAGACTATGAGAAATGATTCAGAGAGAAGCTTCACATGCAGTTATATGGAGAGGAGCATATTTAAAGGACCCATTTCACCATATTTAAAGGACCCTTTGATGAAATGCAGGATATACTTTTGTTGGAACTAGTCAGTTCATTTACCTGTGTCCATCAAAAGCTAGTGAGTTCCTTGATGTTTCATGTTTCTGTTTTATTTCCTCTCTTGTAGATAAAGAATTCATCTACAGAGAGCAGAAAGGAAGTGTGATACTGCAGAATGTTGAAACAAATACTTCTACGGTGTTAATAGAAGGCAAAAAAATTGTAAGTACTCTCTTTAATGACAAGGATAATTTCAGTTTTCCCGCCTTCAAGTCAATAAAGCAAAAAATGACTTTAGGTTTCAACTTTTCATATAGCCAAGCAGAAGCAATAAACTTGTAATAGTACAGACTGAGCAGCTACAGATAATGTGAAATTGAAACCACACTAATTTAATAAGATGAAATCACCATTTCTCTGAGTATACGGGAAATTTCTCTGCAGGTGTTGGAAGCAAGTGTTGCATATCATATATAATTCAAAGATAAGTCCTAAGGCTTTTGCACATTTACAGAACAATTGTAGTAATTCAGAGAATACTTCAGGACTGCTTGCACGATCTCATATTTTTTTTAAAAATGCATCTTAAAGTGCACAGAGAGTATTAATTTAGGCACTGACTATACTCACTCTAATGACGTTACGTGATGTTTATGCTTTAGAACAAGTACTGAGTCGATATGAATGCCACTGCTTCATCATCTGGGAAAACCTGTTTCCCCAAAGATAATGGCGTCAAGATTTGGAGTCCACGTAACAGTTAATGATATTTACTAAAGAATTGACTGAAGTTATGTACCAGAAATCAATTTAAAGAGAATTAACTGTTTTTTTCATATATGTTCATGCTTATTTTTAGAAGGAATAAATCTTCAGCTTTAGGGAGTTGATCATTTTCTTGTCCAGTACATGGAGGAAATCAAGGGAAGAAACTAAGGCCAAGTCTGTGTTAAAAGCGAGAATTAAAACAGGCCACGAATTCTCAATCAGAACCATCATAAGAAGTCTCTGATGAGAATCAGAAACATAGGAATCCTAGAATCCTGTGGTCTGGGGATCAGAGACCATAGAAAAAATTCGCTGCCTGGTTTTACAGATAAGCATCCCGAGCCCAGTTTAGTGAGTGAGCTTTCCGGAGTCCCTGGGTGAGGGTTCAGGCAGGTCCCCGGAGCCATGTCCCAGGGACAACAAGGGATGAGAGGATGATTCCATCTTTGCGTTGCCCTATCCCCTGTCCCACACAAATGCTGCCCTACCTTCTCAAGAACATGACACTGCTGTTTAAATACTCTTCCTTTCTTTTTGGTGTAGCGATACCTTTTTCTTTAAGAATAAACATTTTATTGAGGTTTAGTATGGGCTGGATCCTGCCCTTTACAGAGACTGTTTGCTGGTGTAAGAGAGGGCTAGCAAGGTTGTATGATGGTGTAATTCCCAAAACAACAGGTACTGAATTCAGTAGTAGTCTGCAAAGTAGGACCCGACCTGGAAAGAATGAATGTGCCTGCATTTTTGCATTAAAAAATCATCTTTGGTAGAATGGCTCCCGTAAGAAAAGCTGATTCAACTCAAAAATACTGAAATTGTAGAAATGGTTTTCTCATATTAATCGAAAGGAGAAAATGATCAGACCATTGCTGAGGGTAAGTACATGTTAATGCCAGGATGTTATCGATATTTCCCATAAGGATGTCAGTTTGCTGAAAGTAGGGTACTGTTGGTACAGCTGCACTTAGTAAGGAAATACAAGACTAGGAACAGCCTTCTCTTTCTCCAATCAATAACTTGTGACAGATCGTGTATTTTAACTGAAGTTGTTTTAGCCAAGTAATAAGGTGGCTTCAGAAACCTCCTTAGGTAAAGAAAAAAGGAAGAGCTCATCTTGAAAATTGGAAGGTTTATCCTGTATGATGAAATTCCTTCTTAAAATGTCATTTATTCACTCACCTCAGAAACATTTGTTGAGAACCAAATGTGTACAGCCTGATTGATACTGTTCGTGATCATGCCAGTTTATTCTTGGCTCAAAGCTACATGTAAAGGATCCTGTAAACAGACCTCAGACGAAGGAAAGAGAGGAAAAGTCATTGAGTGTCTGCATCATCATTTAGAACACAGAAGCTCTGGATTTAAGTTCTCTTGAGCCAGTTAAACTCGTGCTTCAGTTACTCCATCTGCAAGTTAAAGCTGATGGAATGATCCAGCTCTCTGTATTTTCATGAGCAAGTATTAAGAAGGGGAAGCATGATGTTCGGAAGGGATCACTGTTGGCGGACCCTCTGCTCCCGGGAGGATGAGTGGGCTGGAGAGAGCGGGCACACAGGGCAGTGGCTCTTGCCCGGTTCTGCCCGCCTGCCTTTCCGATGCTGGTTCCCTAGGTGATCTCTCCTTATTTGAAACCTGGAAGCTTTGAGATTGTTTAAATGATAAAAGTAAGCTGAGGAAGAGGGCTGTGCTACCTGTGAGGCCACCTGTAATCTTTAGGTTGATCTTTTTTTTTTTTTGCGGTACGCGGGACTCTCACTGTTTTGTCCTCTCTCCCGTTGTGGAGCACAGGCTCCGGACGCACAGGCTCAGCGGCCATGGCTCACGGGCCCAGCCGCTCCGCGGCATGTGGGATCTTCCCGGACTGGGGCACGAACCCGTGTCCCTTGCATCGGCAGGCGGACTCTCAACCACTGCGCCACCAGGGAAGCCCTTTAGGTTGATCTTAAAACAACCTGAAACTAGTGGAGACGTGAACATGAAGCAGTGAATGCCCAGGTCAGCAGAAGTTTAAAATAGTAACCTACAATCTGACCTCTGACCTCATTCTCTTTCCCCAGCCACTGAGAAGGACCATCACACACAAGGTCACACCAGGGTCCTCCGGCCTGCTGGCCTTGAGCATCCTCCTGGCTCCTTGGCTTCCGTGACTGGCTCTTTCCCGGGATGGATCAATGGAAGGGGAGGCAAATGAATGCAAACACTAGGCAATCCAGCACAAGGGCTTTGTACATCATTGATAATTATGCAAATGAGAGTTTGTGCTGTGCTGGGCTCACCTGGAGGGTTCTCACCTGCCCCCCCAAACAGCTTCCTTTGACCGAAAGGAATTCAGTCATCCCTTCTCACACCTCCAAATGGTAGAAATCAGATCATGAAATATTTCAGAATACCAGAAACACTTTAAATTGTGAGTTCACATAGACATTTAACCTTCTAAGGCAATTCCATCCTGGTTCACACTGTTATTTGCATTCCTTTGTTTTTTATATTAATTTTTTGATGGTGAGATATTCTCAGATCCTTATTATTTGGTAGCATCTCATATTTGATGTGACATAATAATTGATTTTAGGAAGGATTTATCAAAATATCCTGGTCCCTTTTCCAACTTCTGTGGGGTTTTTTTTGTTTTTTTTTTTTTTTGCGGGATCCTCCCAGAGTGTTTTTGTTTTTTAGTTTTTATTTATTGGGGTATAGTTGCTTCACAGTGCTGTGCTAGTTTCTGCTGTAGAGCAAAGTGAACCAGCCATACGTATACACATAATCCCCTCCCTTCTGGATTTCCCTCACATCTAGGTCACCACAGAGCATGGAGTAGAGTTCCCTGTGCTCTACAGCAGGCTCTCACTAGTTATCTATTTATACATAGTATCAATAGTGTGTATGTGTCAATCCCAATCTCCCAATTCATCCCCTCCCCCTCTCCCCGTTTGGTGTCCATACGTCTGTTCTCTACTTGTTTGTCTCTGTTTCTGCTTTGCAGATAGGTTCATCTGTACCATTTTTGTAGATTCCACACATACGCGTTAGCATATGACATTTGTTTATCTCTTTGTGATGTACTTCACTCTGTATGACAGTCTCGAGGTCCATCCACGTCTCCACAGATTTTTGAGGTGCTCTGTTAGATTTCTGCAGGGAAGGAAATCACAAGCACATCGTCTCTGAATGAGCTCGGACATCTGCTGCCCGCTCAGTAGTCAGGCTCATTGGAGGCAGGTTCTAGCTGAATTAATTTTGTCTCTTCCACTGTGCTTGGCACTGTGACCTGTGCATAGTGGGTGCTCTGTAACTGTGTATTCTATGAATGGATATAAAAGACACAAAACCGAGGTGAGCGGCTTCCCTGAGCGCCAGTGTGGTGAGAGGTTTGGGGTGGTCCCTGACCCCCCTTCTCCCCGCGGGCGCTGCTCTCTGCTCCACAGTGACAGGTCCTCAGGCAGCTGTGCAAGCTCCGTGTACCCTGTCCTGCCCCTCAGGAGCGTTGTCTGGATGACGTGAGAGGACAGACGTAGAATGTGGGTGCAGGTCAGTGTGACTCAGGACGATCAGGTGGACTGGAGGACCCGGGCAGCTCAGGGCTCAGGCGCACAGGGTGACCCGGTCAGCAGCAGGGAGGGGGAACGGGCCTCCCTTGACTTCGAGCTCCTTCCCTGCGGGAGGTGTGTCTGGGCCGCCTCCCAGGGTGAAGCAGGGGCATTCTCTCCGGTTTCACGTGGGTTACCTACAGGCAGACTTCATTTTATTGAGCCTTGCAGATGCTACGTGGTTTTGCATAGTGAAGATTTGTGGCAGCCCTACGTCACACAAGTCTCTTGGCGCCATTTTTCCAGCAGCACTTGTTCAGTGTGTGTCTCTGTGTCACATTTTGGCAACACTCACAATATTTCAAACTTCTTCATGACTATTACATTTGTTACGGGAACTGTAATCGGTGATTTTTAATGTTACTATTGCAGCTGTGGGGGCGCCATGGAGCACATCCATACAAGACGGAGAACTTAATGGAAAACGTTGTGTGTGTTCTGACTGCTCCACCAGCTGGCCGTGCCCCTGTCTCTCTCCCTCTCCTCAGGGCCTCTCTGTCTCCTGAGACACAACAATATTGAAATTAGGGCAAGTAATAACCCTACACGTTCCTCTAAGTATTCAAGTGAAAGGAAGATTCGCATGTTTCTCACTTCAAATCAAAATCTGGAAATGCTGAAGCTGAGTGAGGAAGGCATGTGGAAAGCTGACAGGCTGAAAGCTAGGCCTCTTGCTCCAATCAGTTAGCCGAGTTGTGAATGGAAAGGAGATGTTCTTGAAGGAAATTAAAAGTGCTCCTACAGTGAACGCGCGAATGATAAGAAAGTGAAAAAACCTTATTGCTGGCATGGAGAAACTTGTAGTGTTCTGGATAGAACATCAAACCAGCCACAACATGGCCTGAAGTCAAAGCCTAATCCAGAGCA